GGCTGGCTCTAAGGTATGAGATGTTTGGTTCACACTCAGGATGGAATGGAGAAAGGAAACTCACAATGTGCTCTCTATATACATGTTGTATTGGATGTACAATACAGCTTGGTGCTGGGAAGGCAGCATGGTTACAAGCGTGATGTAGAGAGAGCTGGTTGGTGAGGACGCTCAGAGAAGGACAGCTTGTGGGTCGCCATGCTCGCCAGCGGGAGAGAGAACCGACAGGCAGGCGGAGGAGGAGCGAGGGCTGCCAGGCAGCGGCAGCGGCGGAGGAGGTGTTGCTGGCTGCGGCTGTAGGTAGAAAGAGAGAGATCACCACGAGGTCAGGTCTTAAATAGCGGGGGTAGGCGTGGCTTAGCAGTTGATCCCCGCTCCGTGATGTATGGCGGCGCTGGTTGACCTAGACCACGAGGTATACACTGGAGAATTGGTGGGGTCGGCTAGGCAGCGACAAACAGCGTTTGTAGGGGAGAATTCCACTACAAGCTTGTTTAGGTAGCTGGCAGAGCAAGCCAGGCACTGGGTTTGGTTTTTCATTGACCAAATCGAGTGGGAGGAAGTGTTAAACACCAATCCTGACTTAACTAATTTATTTCTTAACCAAAACATACGGCATCCAGTCACACGACAAATCTGGTTGGCCTTCATCAAAATAACTACTCCTGTATTATGTTCATTACACTTCAAACCAGTACACGACCTCCATCAAATAACTACTATTATCATCTTCATTCTTCATAACAACCTCCTTACCTCGGTCATTCCTTCTTACCATAACACCCAACACATCAGATTGCACCACATGTTATATTATAGCACCGTATCTCGGGTACCCTCCACGAATGTAGTAAAAAATGGCACAGATAAAATGGCAATAGGGAAATATGGCACCGGAAAAAAAGGCATAATCATCAGACTAAGAAAAAATGGCACATTAACTTTTATTGACATGTTTTCGCTAAAATTTTATAACGTTTGTTACTGAAACTTAATTAAAGTTATATCAACGTCATAACTTAAAACATTTACTGTATTACCCTTAACTGAAACATTCTACCGTATGTTAGTGAAAACTCGTACATAAATGAATAACAAATAAAAATTGTCACATTGCATATTATTGTTTAAGATTTCCAACGACTGTTATACCCAGCGCCTTGCACAAATTTTTGGACTGACTTGCGACAGAGGGTCTTCAGCCTTGTCTGGACTCTGGAGGTTCTTGTAAACAAGTTTTTGGAGCTTCCTGGGTGGCTCACTACGAAATTCTTTGATAATGTGAGATGATACAACAGCATTTTCAGCTTGGATCCACTGGATGAAACGCCAGATAGTTGGGTGGTTGTGCCCAACCAACCTGGTAGTAGAGGAAATAAAGAATGCTTTGAAAGGAATGAGCGTTAATTACAAGACTAGCGAGGTCATCCTAAAACTATATCTTGAGCTCGAGACCTCACTTGGATTACGCAGTTCAGTTCTGGTAACCATACTCGAGAATGAATATAGTGTACGGGAGTAGTGGATACCTCCCCTTCTAGCTACAGCCGCAGCAAGCAACACCTCCTCTGAGCACCCTCACCAACCAGCTCTCTCTACTCCACGCTTGTACCCACACTGCCACTCCCCAGCACCAAGCTGCATTGTACTGTCATGATCGTGATGACGGCTAACCTGAAAACCTTAAGGATTCATATTACGCTCAAACGTCCACAAAACCTTCCGAGTCCCCCAGTGGAAACGTCCCCCGTTTTCTGTTTCCTTGATGACGTCATCAATAGGCTGTCTTTGTCTAAAGGGTGCTTTGAATAAAATCAGCGGATTTCGTAGCAAGACGCTGTATGTTGGGACCTGTTGCCATCCAACCCTTGTAATCAATTTAATTTTGCTTTTGATAGCTCAGAGCATTGTTAGTGAGGATAATAGTAGGGAATGAAACCGAGTTCATAGTCTCGGTTTCAACGTCAGAGTGTACAGTAAATTAATCGAAATAGAAGTAGGTGGACTCCCTGACCTATTTTGAGTGAGGGTGCCGCGGGCATTTCAACTGTTAGTAAGTGCTCGCAGCTTCACCCATACAGGTAGGACATTCCACTCTGTGTTGTAATTCGCCCTTCTTTAAGTGATTTGACCCAATTAATAGTTGATTGTGCAAGTGTTACAGTAACGTAGTTGATATGCTCTGAGTGAAGTCATATTTACGTCCCCTGAAATGTGATGTCGTTGTCACTGTTAGTAAGTGCTCGCCCCTTCACCCATATAGGTCCCTAACGCAGCCTAGGCCGTGTCTGTAGGGTGGATGTTGTATCCACTATGGCTGGGTAGATGTCCGAGGTCCAGTAGGATCAGTTACCTTCGTGAGACCCGACCGTCAGACTACCTATGGCCCCCATAGCTGGCTCGTCTGGCCCTAACGCTAGGCCTGCGAGGTGACCCCGGATCACCAAGCCACACACCACTACCAGCCCCCATCATTGGTGGATGAGTGTCTAACTCAGTAGGGCTATTTGTGTGGTGGGGGCTTTTATCACCACACACTATTACAACTCTATTAGGCAAGGTTTTAAGATGTAAAATCTGCTAGATAAGTCTCTTGAATGCCGATGAAGTACGATAGAGTTCACTAACTTGTTTTGGTGAGAAGTCGGGTGTCACTAAGGGTGATGGCTAGCGTCTCACTGATATAGGCCTACAGTTTCCAATCCTTAATTTTCACTTTGACATTATTCTGGTTCTCACATATACTGTACACTTTCCTCTCTATTGTGACTTTATGCCTTATAATTATATATCTTAATTCTAAATTACATACTAAAATAAGGGTCTGGTTTGCTAATTCCTGGGGAAATTCATTGGGTTATAACAATAACTCAGCACCATAGCCCGGGGCAGCCTAGGTGCCAACCCGAACAAAGGCCTAGCCTCGTGTTTTCTAGGCGTGGGTATACCCACTTCACTTTAATCTGTATTTAGGGATTCTCCCCTCACACGTTGCAATCGTTGAACACATTCATAAGATCCTCTGATCATTGCACTGTTCGTCACATGGGTTATCGAGGTGTATTAAGCTCACACCGAGGTATACAAGATCTTCTCTTTGAAGCATAGTTTCTGGATCATTTCCAACACTTCACATAGGTCTGATACTTTTATCCTTTTTCCAGATCATTGTTTTCATATTTTTTGCATCTGATACCTGGGGTAGCTATATTTACTAACCGTTCCCACACGTAAATGTTATGACCTTCAGACACAGAGCCGCAGACTACTTCTTGCACTGTCACTAATGTTGAAATGAACTGTAGTTTGAGCTTTTCCCCCATCTAGTTATTATATATCTTATTTGTATCACTTATGTTACTTGTATATTATTTGTAATTCGAAACCCATTCCCCAAATATGTAACTGTATATTTTCAGCCTTCTGGCTGCCAAACTCTTTCAATAAACCGTTAATTATTATTATTATTATTATTAAAAATATTTCCGGGACTGTATCTCTTTGCTTACCCCGTAACTGGACTTACTGTACAGTCTCCAATCAGTATTCCTGTACTCAAACAAATATTTGGCATCGAACTCCGTAAGTGACCTCATAATCTATCGCATAACTTACAGCACCTTAGATGCTGTAACACTCTCAACTCGGATATAGTACTGCAGTCACTATTTCCCGATTGCATAAAAAAATAATACCGTACTATATGTTGTAATAATGCTTGCTAGACTTGTTTTATCATAGAATAACGAAGAAAATGTTTTGTACATCAACATACTTAAATATAATATTTTAGTTTGTCTTTTTCGTACATTCTTTTTTTTTTACGATAAGAGGCGCGAATGTTTCTATTTGTCGCAGAATGGAAGAGACGCATCTTTTGGCTTCTTACAACTTTTCGAGTAATTTTCACAAAAAACAGAAGGTTTGTGTTGTCCACACTTAGAGTACAAATACTTTTTATGACTGAGTAAACTTGCAGATAGACCTTATTAATGTTGTATAGCCATAAATATCCCAAGTAATGAAAGCAAATATGAGGTCAAGTGAACATTCATGCCTAGACTTCGCCTGTTTTTTCTTATATTCAACCAATAGCCTACGCCTATTTTCTTATGTATATGGTTTATGATAACATGAAAGGCTCTAAATGTCCATAGGCTAGCCAAAATTAAATTATATTAGGCATAAAATATGGATTGCAAATAACTTGATCAAGTTAGGGGCCTATATGACAGCTTTCTCAGTCTTAGCCAAACAAATGTTTAAACTTGGGAGCCTAGTTGTTTCGTTTGAACATGAAGAATATTTAAAGAGGATATTATACCAATAGGTTGGAGCTTATGTTATGTTGTAAGGGTCAATTTTCTTTATCCTATATATATCCTATTTCATATATTTGTTCTCTTTTTTTCTTTCTTATTTATATACTTACCGGTATTGCTTTTTTTTTTATGAACTTCAAGCAAATTCAGACCAAATTACCCAAACCTTGAAAGGAAAACACCAGGGTCTAGGCTAAATCAGTATAAGAAAAGTGATTTGTCATTTTGGTTAGGCAAGGCTATGCTATCAATAACCTATTTATTTGAAGTGGCCAAGAATAAGGCTATCCTAGTCTAGCTTATGGGTCTTGTCACAGGCCAACATTAGGCCAGGGGTTAGCAACCCAAATTCTATTAGGGCTAAAACACCAAATACTGTAAGATCTCTGTTAGCCGGAACAATTGGTGAAGAGCACTTCCGTGAATGAGAGTTTTCCGGGTAGAGACGATTATCTGAAATCCAGAAAAAATTCCTCATCCCCAGAATGTTTCTGGTAATGGAGAAATGTTAATCAGTAGTTCCTGAAATTGCCCATTACATCATCTCTCAAACCCAGAAAAAGATCCCCCCCCATCTCTGGAATTTTCTCAGTTATCTGGGAAAATTTTCTTATAATTTTCCGGAAAGTGTGCCCCTCTGAAAGTCATTACCTAAGCCATAAGTTTTCTGCAAAATCATGCTTTGGGAATGATTTTTTGAGAATTTCAATTCCGGCTATCAGAAAGTTCCGGGTTTGAGGGATTCCGGCTAACGGATATTACTACCTAGTAAAATGAACACAGGTCAAAAGACCCTTCGGCTGCTGTTCATACCAGAAAGCAGCTTCAAATGCAAGTATTTGACAGACAAGAGACAAGAGGATGTCTTTTAAATGTTTTTTTCACTCTTATTTACTTTCGCACTGAACAATTTTATTCATTTTAAAATGTGTACAGTACAGATAATTTAGCACACTGCATTTTTCAGTATTTTATCCCTTAGAGCCAGGCAAGACCTAAGGCAGTGAATTTTTTTTTCACAGGCATAACCCTTCTATTCTAGGCCTAATGATAAAATTTGGAATAAGCTAGTATCAACATAAAAACACTACTGTAACAAACAAACTTGTAAAGTATTACATGTACAGGTATTGCTAACCACCCCCGGACAACCCCATTTTTAGTGCATTGTTTTTTCCAGCAGATTGATGCCGCAACACTTGGACCTCATTTTTTTTTTACCTGCAATGGAGTTGATTTTAGCTTATCTATATGATCGAGCTTTACAACGTGAACAAAGGTATCGGGACCCTTTAGATCCCATAAATATAAGCGATGAAAATCTACTTGCATACTAAATAAAGGTTTCCTCGACGTGAAATATTAAGACTGTGTGAAGAATTAGACCAATTTTTAAGGCAAAGAACGACAAGATCTCGTGCTGTTCCCACACACACGCAAGCGTTAGTTGCCTTAAGATTTTACGCAAGTGGAACCTTCCAAAATGTACTTGGTGATACAGTTGGTCTTACCCAAGTTAGTGTCAGTAGAATTATTAGAGATGTGACCCAAATTCTCTCAGATAGGGCAAGAATTGAAATAAAGATGCCAACAAGTGATGTACAAATAGCAAGAACTGTGCATGGTTTTGCCAGAATAAGAAACTTTCCAAGTCATTGGTGGAATTGATGGAACATACATACCTATAAAAGCACCAAGTGAAAATGAAGGAACATATGTAAACAGGAAGCGATACCACTCTCTCTATGTGCAAGTAGTATTTAATGCCGACGGGTTGATCACAAGCTACAGCACCAAGTATCCAGGTAGCACACATGAAGCCTTCATCTGAGCCAACTGCTTACTTCTCCGTCGCCGAGGCTGGTGATTTTTTAGATACTTATATGCTTGGTAAGTTTAAATAGCCTCTAATGTTAAGTGGGGCTAGGTCTAAGCTCTAACCTAAACCAAGTATCTCTTACTTAACCACCCAGTACATGGTAATGCATAGATTTGCAGACTGAAGGTACGGTACACTATTTAAGCTTGGTCTAACCTTGCATATCGACTAAGTTTCTACCTCACTGACCATATAGCCTATGCTGAGCCTAATAACTTTCCCCAAAACAAGCTAAGACACTTGACGGCACATACATAATTAGCGCCTCACACTTAATTTCTTTATTAGGCTTACAGTTGGTTGTTGAAAAAGGGTTACAATAATGGTGCTTTAGGGCTAGGTTTATATGGAAGCAAGTAAATAATTCCTCATTGTTTGATAATGCAGCTATATAAGTTATATTTTTTGTGGTTATAGGTGACAGTGGGTACCCATTAGAGCCATTCCTCATGACACCATTCGGAAACCCCTCAACACCTGCAGAGGTGAGGTATAACAGAAGCCATACCAAAATACGCGTGGTTGTAGAGCAAACTTTTGGGATCCTAAAATCAAGATTTAGATGCCTTCACCGTTCTGGCAGATCACCTCAATACGATCCTGCCAAAATTGTAATTGCAAGTATCCTTCTTCACAATTATTGTGTAATGAGAAGGGTACCACTTCCCCATGACATGGTCGACAATGATGGAGAGATAGACAATCCAGCTGTAGGTGTTGCCAAGGCAGGGACAGGCCAAGCAGACAGTAATTGGTTTAGTTCATGAATTAAAAGCACATATCAATTCACAGATATTTTTTTTGCTCTAAGCGAGTCGATCTTTTGGTGAAGAGGATAAAAGAAAAGGAAAAGTAATCAGAGACGTGACCGATCGCCCAAGCGGCTAACGCGCTGGTCAGTGGTGAAGAAGATAAAAAAACACAAAAAATATGAAATATAAAGACAAAAAATTGGCTATCTTTTACCTTCATATGATAAACATTTGATATATGAAAATACAGTATGTACTATATTCTTTAGAAAAATTGATTACAATACAGTATACTTTTAATACTACTAAATACCCAAGGCACTCAAGTATGGAAGAAAAAAACATTATATAAAACATATTTGAGAAATTTAAACAATAATGAAATATTGCAACTATTTCCTTGTTAAGCTACACAATTTGACATGGGTCACCACATTCTTCTGAAAGAATAATACAACTACTGGTAATTGATGCCATTTTTAAGATTAAAAAATGGAATACAGTATAATTTTCATATGTCTAAAATTTCTATAGGAACTCTCATGAATAGAATGTAGCTGCATCAATACCTGTATATTAAAATAAACTTGTACCCAAATACTGTACAACTATAAGTAATAAAGAAAACAAAATAGCAAACTCTTGGCTTGATAAGCTATACAATTTAGCATGAGGCCGCACATCCTTCTGAAAGAACCAATCCAACAACTTGCTCTATGGAGAAGTTCATGTGCAGTAAATAGCAATGATTACAGTAGGCTGTTGGTGAAATTGCAACATTATTTCAGTTTCAACCTACTTGATTCATAACCATAAAATATTCACTAATCAATAAAGCAAGTTGAACTGGAAAATACAGCAACTACGTATTACAAAATAAAGGAACATTTAAAAAATAAAAATAAGTACATGACTCTGGTTTCAAAGTTATAAATTTGATTACGGTATGAAGTTTTATCCAAAACATGGGCAAACAATATCCTTAGGAGCACTGAAACACATGTTAATAGTTTACAAGTGTATGTCTTTCACTTACCTTTGTGATTTTAACTCACTTATGGAGAGATTAATGTTCCTGTTAAATTCTCATGACTAGTATAGGGTGCAAGTGAAAGTTACACAATTATTTAACATGCCCTGTCTTCTTTCATAACAATCATTCAAAGGAAAAATTTGTGTTGTGACTTTTCAACTACGCTATTATCACATTGACAAAAAGTAAAGGACTTCTAGAAGTAAACAACTCCACATACCCATACCCTAAACACAAACAGCATCATGGGGTAGGATTTTTCGACTGCACAATTTTTGCAATGGTTTGCAGTGAAGATGCAATGCACTCGGTGTTAGCAACAAGTTTAACCAAACAGTCCCTCATTTGTGACTGAACCTGAAGCAACTCCGGAATAAGATTTGCATCTTTTAGGGCAGAAAGGGTTCGTGGCCTGCTGCCACTTCTGCTCCAACTTGCTATTTGAGATGAACCCGGCTCATCAGTGGGACCAGCAGTTAAAGTTGACCTAGTCTGGTTATCATCAGCTGTGGCAGAAGGGGTAAGAGACCTACTTTGCTGTTCCGTGGTAGCAGCAAGAGGTTTACCAGTCTTGCTTGAGCTACATCTTTCTCCAAAATATGTTTTGGATGATGAAGATTCCTGAATGTTTTGATGTGACGAAGCTTCAGGTTCTAAAAGCACAATGGGTACTGTTATGTCATGTTCCTGTATATCCTCAGTCAGCACGATGGTTGAAGAATCCTCTTTCTCTTGAACGGGCCTTAACATAGAGTCCTCTCTTGAACGAAGAGCCGTAAACCTAGCTCCTGAGGGTCCGGAAGTTTGTTCTCTTTCTTCTTCTGGAAAGAAATATATAATAACTTGATTTAAGTCTATGTTTAGGGTATGCTTAAAATATTATAATCAAAAATATATTTAAGTTTTAAGAAAAAATGGGTCTGAAAAAGTGTTGAGCATCCAAAAGTAAGTGTATAAAATAGTTTTAATTGTAAATATTAACTAAATTAAACTGGGTTACAATATTTCAAATTGGTTTAATTATTATATAGATCATTTAGTTCAAGCGGTAAAATTTCTTATATTTTCACTTCTCAATTTATTCAATTAAACTATGATTTATAACAACATTTAATATCTAACTTAGGGAAGCAATAAACCAAGCTAGAAATTTAACCAACTAACTTATGTTGTTTATTTTTTTAAAATATACACAAATTCAGTATACAGTATTTCAAAAGTAAGATAAAACTGAAATTAGGTCACCCAAAGTATTTTTAAAAATAAAAACAAGGACAGAAAAGAACAAAATATATCAGGGGGTTGGAAAAGTATTTTGACTGAATTACCATTAATAGGTTCTTCACTTTCAACATCCCCTGGAATCCCATGTATAGAAACTGGATCTAAGAGTTGAAGAACTGCTTCTTCAATTGCAGTGTATGTATTTTCAATTTGGGGGCCGCCTCCTTCAAGAGAAAAAAAAAAAAAACTTTCTTACTGTGAGCTGTGGTTACATACACTGTATGCTACTATGTTATATTTGGTAGGAATCATACAGATAGAAAGGAATCTATTGAAATAGTTCAATACATTCTAACCTAACCTAGTATTGTAGCTGTAGCCCCAAAAATTCTCCTCTATCTATGTGAAAAGTAAATTAGATTTACTGTAACAAACATTATAGGGTAAAATAGTGAAAAATAATAATCGCAGCCAGACTTTTTCAACCTGTATTGGTTGTAAACTCATAAGGTAGAACATCATTATCCATAAGCCTAACAAATTAAGATTTTCATAATAATCTATACCAAATATGAAATTAAACCACTTCATGAATCAGAATTAATGCAATAAAAAAGAAGAAGAAAACATAAAGAATTCTATGGTAAGCTACATATTATGACCTTCATTACCGTCGGAAATAACGTAATTATTATTATGTAGTTTATAACAGTAACAAAACCTACCTAACCTAACTTTCTTACCAATGGGTGGCGGAGACCACCCAGAAGAATATTAAATATCTCCGTTCTAGGTCATTTGCGACACAATGAATAGTGTCTTAACATTTTCTCAACTATATGATAGGTACATTAAGAAAATCCAAAGTTGTGGGGCAATTATTAGCAGTAACACCGACTAGCCTTTGGGTTCATTTATCGGCTGTACAGTTTTTACTAATTACTCACGGCAAACTTCGAAGAACGATGTTTCTTTTAATGAATGTGCTCATATAAGGAAAATATGTGTATTAATTCATGATGAAGAGCTACCATACACTACTTACTTGAGTCTACAACCACCTCAAATCGTAGCAAGCCTCAGAAAAAACAGAATTAAGTTGGTTTCAGAGTGAAAATCAATACCTAGGCTAACAATATTAGGACTTACCTGTTCCACCAGTATATTTCTTATCTTGCGCTGCTTTATTCTTCACGCTTTCACGTAAATCGGAAAAGTTCCGCCTGACCTCCTCAACATTGCGGGGGATTTGAGCCACAACATTTACTGCCTTTACAACTTCTTCCCAGGCATGATTCTTCAATTTGATTGCACCTCTTGAGTCCAACTTCCCTAAGATTATTTTCTTTCTTTTTGCGACTTCACACACCATGGCGTATACTTCCGCCTCACTGAAATTTGGTCGTCTCTTCTTTGCAGTAGGTCCTTCCATCTTTTGCTTACAAACTAATATCACGTGCGTCGATCTCAGCTGATTACTCCTTCACTTGTGATTGGTTGATGATTTTGATAATTGAGCACCGATTGGCCAACTTGCTCCTGCACTGCCATCTACCTTCGGACAAAAGAACTGAATTTACAAGTAAACACTAGAGTTACGGACTGCTTACGGGACTGTAATTAAATTTTGAGTATGAGAAATTTAAGGGACTGTAAGGAGTCTGCAGTATATGGTGCTGTATGTTGCTACTATACATAACTTATGAGGTGTTTTGAGTATGCAGCCCCATAACGGTCTACACACGGTTACACTTATCCCTTATCGTACAGTAGTCCGTATCAATTGGATCTTCCCAATCATCTTATAGATACCTTGAGTTCTCCTTAATATTATCAGTACATACTGTACTCTTAATGCCCATACATTGGTACAATTCGTATAAAACAACATACAGTAGGTGAGTTATCCCTTACCAAGTTTCTCGTTTTCTGAGACTCTACAAGCGCGGTGATTTGAATATTATGTAGCGTAATATGAATTAAAGAGATATTAAGGATGACAATGTGCGCAGTACAGTCTGATCTTTGTTAATTTTGTTATGACCTTTATTGTCCAGTATTAGTACAGGAGGAAACTGCAGTATAGTACAGTACTGTATACTTAATGTCACACTGGATAACATCCATCTCCAAGTAGGACTCGAACCCATGGTAGAGTGGTGAGAGATATACATGCATTACCACTGTGCCACCAACAATTCAAATTATTTTGATTATAGTTAAAGTGCAACTCATTTCACTATTGTTATCTTTGTTTATGACTCACTCCCCACACAATAAATGTAAATTAAAAAGTGTGTAAATAAATTATTTTATTTAATTGTACAAAAAATACAAATACAACAAAAAGGCATTAACAATTACAAGAAGCTTAATTACTAGGGATAAAGTGACCACTTGCAAGAGGATGCAGCCTTTGGCCTGCCCATAAACTTTTACTTTTACCCTTTTCGCCACTGATCGGCTCGTTAGCTGCTTGGGCGATCGGTAGTCTTTTACGCACTGTTACCAGACACTGGGCATGCACTGGCTCCTGAATCTATCTGAACCCGCTCCAGTGCTGGTCCAGTCTGGTCTTCAAACAGCTCACACTCGGTGCCGTCACAACACTCATTCCAAAAAAGTTTGCCCTCACAGTTTTCTGGACTTGCAGCTTCTTCAACCTTGAGCTGTGACCCCCTTGTGGGGCGAGCGTCCGGCAGCTCCAGGTATGGACACTCGACGGATTAGTGTCATTTAAGATGTTTATACACATCAATTGCCCGTTTGTAGTATAAGCTGTTGTTTGTTTCATATATGACATGCCTGATGTAACGACCACGGTCATACACGTCAGTTAGCGCCAAAATCAACTTTTACTTATACTTTTATCCTCTTCGCCACTGATCGGCTTGTTAGCCGCTTGGGCGATCGGTCATGTCTCTTTTCATTTATCTTCTTCACCAAAAGATCGGCTCACTAGCCGCCCGGGCGATCGGTCACGTCTCTGTCATGCACTGTTGGCAAATACTGGGCATGCACCGGCTCCTGAATGTACCTGAACCCGCTCCAGTGTTGGTCAAGTCTTGTCTTGAAAGAGCTCACACTCGGTGCCGTCACAACACTCTCTGGTAGATTGTTCCAAGAGTTTACAACTCTCACTCCGAAAAAGTTTGCCCTCACGGTTTTCTGGACTTGCGGCTTCTTCAATCTTGAGCTGTGACCCCTTGTGGGGCGAGCGTCCGCCAGCTCCAAGTAAGGACACTCAAATGATTAGTGCCCCTTGAGATGCTTATACACCTCAAGTAGGTCCCCCCTTGCCCGTCTGTAGTATAAGCTAGGCAAGTTCAGGCGCTCCAATCTCTCAGGGTAGCTGAGGTGCCGAAGTGCAGGCACCAGTCTGGTGGCCCTCCTTTGAACATTTTCAACCAACTGACAGTCCCTAGCTTATCTCGGGGACCAGATGGGGTGACAGTACTCTAGATGGGGAAGCACTTCACAAAACATGTAACTCGGCTTTCGTTGAGTCCTCCATCTGAGGAGTCCGTTTTCTCATCACTTCAAGACACCTCAGTCCTCCGTTATCCCATTTTCTCTGACTTATTGAAACCAACCTCTCTATAAAATGAATTTGAGTGTGAGAGAAAACACCCTTGTTTTGAGTCAACTTAGATATGTCTGTTTACAGTTGGAACATTCAAGATCCATTGTGAGTGGTGTTGAACGCTTCAACTGTCCTTATTGTTAGTAAAACGTGGCAAGTAAGTGAGTGTCGAGTTTGCCAGCTAGAGTGGCGTATTTTATGTCGTCCGTGGGGATAGCCATGAGTTTCTGATCGCTCCTGAAGTTATATCATTTTGTCGCCCAGACATCAGATAATCTAATGTTTATAGTTTAGTTAGTGTCAGTTGTCTATTTAAGAAAGTCATTAATCTCCTGAACTATTCTGTCAACCTGTATAATCTCCAAGATCTAACGTCTCCCCGTGAATAGCTCCTTGTTCGCCTCAGGCCTGAGCTCGCAGAATTAATGTTATCAACGTGTATATTCCACCTTTTCCTGGCAAGCTCAACCTCTGATTAGATTATAGGAAGACATAAAAAATTACCCTGATCAGGAACACCGGAGTTCATAATTAAGTATACAGTGATCCAAAATGGTAGAGAAGGTATGTTGTTGGTAAGATCGACCTTTCTGGTATGAATACGGAGGCCCAAGCTGCCCCGCGGGTGCACATATATACCTCTACATGAGGGAGAATCACGCATTCGTGACTCTTCCTCAACGTCTCTCCAGGTATGTTAACGTGTGTTCCCCGCCGCCTATTAATTCAGTTTAACTTAGTCAATTTTGTGAATATCAGTGTTCACGTTTTAACATAGTAACTTCTGTGCCAATTAAGTCGAGTAACGTAGAGATTTAGATATCGTCTGGACCGTTGCCAGACGTATGTTTTGTATAGTTGAAGTTAATTATTGACGCATTCGTGACTCTTCCTCAACGTCTCTCCAGGCCAGTGTGCTGAGCTGAATACTCATCGGCTACCGTGGGTCGGTAGCCGGGTTGGACGATGCCGTTAATTCAACAGGATTAAACTGGGAAGTCCTTTTCCTGCAACTCAGGCGCCAGCTCCCTTGGCATGTGTCGGTCTACAACCGACCCCCTAACAGCGATCTTCATTTGTTATGGAGACACCTGGGAATCTGGGATATATACCCTGAGGCACTCCTCACAGTTACACGGGCCTAAGTATTATTGTATCTTGATTGAGGAATTAACTAACAGAAATATGGAAATCCCAGGTAAGCAGTGAACCCATAAATGTTGATATTACCAGGAAATATGTTACGTAAGTTGAGTACATGAACTGAAGGAAAAGTATCATGTTCATGCCGATAGAACGTCCAGTGTTAACTGACAGTGTGTAATAATTTCTAAATCTTACTTGTCAAAGAAATAATACCACAATTGTCTAATGAAGTAATAAGTACTTGGAGGTGTTTAATGAGGTAATAAGTTCTTGAAGTGTTTGATGACTTAATAAGTTAATTGCGGTTCTGTTTTGTCTGAGTGAATCTAAGATGCATCTTATCCACTCACTGTGTTAATAAATATTGAATTAGTAATCTATGAGTATCACCACTCTACTCCTTCTAAACATTGGTTCCCAGAAAATAATACTTACTCACGTGCCTATACATCTACTACACTACCCAAAAACTTGCCATGAGTTATGTTATATAATGAAAAGTCTGGATGGTGGCAGCTACCCTTTGGAGGTATAAAAAGTGTAGTACTAAGAATAACATGGTTCCCCAGACTAACCCATGTATAAGAATAGACGTAAAACAGAGTATACTTCAGAAAGGTAAGAACATTGAAACTGAGAATATAGTATATATGAAAGAAATGAGACTTGGAAAGTACAAGAAGAGAAAGATAAGACATGTATGTACATGGTGGAACTAAAACCACAGCATAGAAATAAGTAAATAAACACACCACAAAAGTCTAATATAAAACACATACATAAATAACTAAGACAGGAATTACTTATAGAAGAATACTAAATAAGAATATAAAGTATATTTATAAATAAAGAATTGAAGAAGGATAACTATATAAACAGGATACTCATTGAAAAGAATGCTACAAAGAACATATAAGTATATGAATAAATAAGAATACTAACAGAAAAGAATATCTGGATGGTAAAATGAAATGAGAAGAGCTCGGCCCGTTACACTGACACTGTACACTTCTCCATACAAATGTTTGCGGATGACGCCAAGTTATTTCGAGAAATCAGGAACCAAGCGGGCTGCGAAGAACTGCAGAAGGATCTTTGTGAGCTCCAAGAATGGTAGAAGAAATGGCTGCTGAGATTCAATGTCACGAAGTGTAAGAGGATGCACCTGGGTCATACCAACGGTAAGGAGGCATATCACATGTCCCAACGGGATGAAGAAACTGCACTATTTGAGACTGAATGTGAGAAGGACCTAGGTGTGTATGTTGACAATGAACTGAAGTTCTCAGGCCATTGCGAGAAGAAGGTAAATCAGGCAAATAAATTGTTAGGTCTTATAAGAAGGTCTTTCATATATCTAGATGGTCCGTTCCTCGTAACGATCTTCAGGGGTGAAGTGCTTCCCCATCTGGAGTACCATCACCCCTTCTGGTCCCCGAGATATACTAGGGACTGTCAGTTGATTGAAAATGTTCAAAAGAGGGCCATAGACTGGTGCCTGCACTTCAGCACCTCAACTACCTTTAGAGATTGGAGCGCCTGAACTTGCCTTGCTTAGACGTGCAAGGGGCGATCTAATTGAGGTGTATGAGCATCTCAGGGGGCACTACTCAGTCGAGCGTCCTTACTTGAAGCTGGCGGACGCTCGCCCCACAAGGGGTCACAGCTTAAGGTTGAAGAAGCTGCAAGTTCAGAAAACTGTGAGGGTGAACTTTTTCAGTGAGAGCTGTAAACTTTTGGAACAACCTGCCAGAGTGTGTTGTGACGGCACCGTGTGTGAGCTGTTTCAAGACCAGACTTGACCAGCACTGGGGAGGGTTCAGGTACATTCAGGAGCCAGTGCATGCCCAATACTTGCCAACAGTTCATAACAGAGACATGACCGATCGACCAAGCGGCTAATGAGCCGATCGGTGGTGAAGAGGATAAAAGTAAATGTAAGTAAAAGCTCTAATCTCTCTGGGTAGCTGAGGTGCCAAAGTGCAGAATATTTTAAATCAACTAAACAGTCCCTAGCATATCACGGGGACCAGACGGCGTAACAGTGTCAGGGGAAAAATTTTGAGTTTGTATATAAGGGAATTTTCTTATCTTTTTTATTTTCACTTTTATTTCTTAATTCTTTCTTTAACTTCTCAAGGTATTTTTTTCTTTCTATCTGTTACAGTTCTCTTGTTATTCTTTATTTATACTTATTTCTCTGTTTTGTTACTTTTCTCTTATCTAGTTCTATTCTGACCTAGTGCTCGACTGGGAAGTAATTGTGCAGGTTACAGCAACCAAAGAATTCCGGAAATTCACTTCACTCAGTCGATAGACATATTTTTTTCTATTATCAGTGTATAATATACACTTACGTCACAAATTTATAATAATAAAGTTATTGAATTTTTAAAAGAATAAAAGGTAAAGGTGTAGATAATGGCTAACACGAGAAGTTGTTTGTTGATTTTCTTTATTTTTGTTTTACTTATTGTTTTGATGATTTTAAGTTTATTAAAATAAATGACAACTTTCTATTATGATTTTAAGTTTATATATATTTTTTATTTACTTTATTCCGCGTCACAATTCTCCTCCCGGCGCCATTTGTGTTGTTTACCTCGCTGAATTCCTCTTCAAGAGACTTTTCCTATAAATGATGGTGATCGCTTCCACGAATTCCTCCTCGCCATTGCTGATGTACAGTACTGTATATCAACCTCAGAGCACCTGTCCCTGACTGACTCCGAGTAAGGTAAGAAATATTGTAACGGCTATATATATTATTGTGGAGACTGACCACGCGACTCTGGGTTATTATACCGAGCAAAGGCCCGCCCCTGGCTAGGGTCACCGGAGGTCCAGGGGCAGAGCCCCCGGTTAGGTGGTTCGGTAAGGTTTAGTTTGGTTGTACTGTATAATCCACAAATCACTCGTTTTTTTGCTCTCCCCCACCCAAAACCCCGAAGTCCCAAGCTCATGACCATAATATATTCACTCGTATACTACGTAAAGCACAAGAACAAAATATACCATACAGAAAAATGAGCCAAGGTGGATGACCAGAAAACTTAAACATGACATAGGAATAAAAAAGGAATTTATAAGAATTAAGGGGAGGGGAGGAGCAGCTCAGAAATAGGTATACTGAACTATCTAGGAATGTTAAGAAAAATGTAAGGAAGGCAAAGAGGGACTTCAAAATCAGGATAGCAAGAGAATCCAAGGCGAATCCCAAGGGATTTTTCCAGGTACAGGAAGGACAAAGGTCAAGGACATAGTGGGGCCTTTAAAGTCAGAGAGGGGGGAAGTGATCGATGACATTGAGGAAATAAGCAAAGCATTAAACAGCTACTTTTTATCAGTTTTCACAGAATAAATTCACGAGGAAATTTCAGAGGTGGAATTGATATCTAGGGTAAATGAAGAAGAGAAATTAAAGAATATCACTATCAGAAAAGAGGATGTTCTTAAGAGGATAAATAAATTAAAGAAGACAAAATCTCCAGGGCCGGATGAAATTTTCCCCCGAGTCTTGAAAGAGTGTAGGGAACAGATTAGCGGACCCCACGTAAACTTATTTACAAAATCATTAGACACTGGAATTGTGCCAGACTTGTGGAAACAGGCAAATTTAGAACCCATATTCAAAAAGGGAGACAGAGCATCAGCGTCAAATTACCGGCCGATCAGTTTGACGTCAGTAGTGGGGAAATTTCTTGAATCAATTATAGCAGTTAGCATCCGATCGCATCTAGAGAAAAGCAAATTAATCTACAACTCTCAACATGGGTTTACAAAGGGAAAATCTTGTCTAACAAATCTGCTAACGTTTTTTAGGAAAGTCTTCGAGGTAGTAGATAATGACGAAAATTACGATGTTATTTACTTAGACTAGCAAAGCATTTGACAGAGTACCGCATCAGAGGCTTCTGAGAAAAATTAAGGCTCATGGTATCGAGGGGAAAGTTTTAAATTGGATAAAATCATGGCTCACCAATAGAACGCAGAGGGTCAGCGTAGATGGTGCTAAATCTGAGTGGGGCCGTGTAACCAGTGGGGTTCCCCAGGGGTCAGTACTAGGCCCACTCTTGTTCATAATCTACATAAACGATCTAGATACTGGGATCAGCAGTGACATAAGCAAGTTTGTGGATGACACCAAAATAGGGCGACAAATTAATTCGGGGCAGGATGCAAATGCATTACAGGAGGATCTAAATAAACTGCAGGGGTGGTCTGAAAAATGGCAAATGAAATTCAACACCAGCAAGTGCAGCGTACTTAATATTGGAAGAACATATACTTATAATGTATACAGCCTTAACAACATCAACCTAGAGAAGTCGACTTGTGAAAGAGACCTAGGGGTACTTGTAAGCCCGGACCTACGGCCTAGGAAACAGTGCGTTAATATTCGAAATAAGGCAAACAGAGTATTGGGTTTTATATCTAGAAGTGTAAGTAATATGAGTGCAGAGGTCTTATTGCAACTATATCTTGCGCTAGTCAGGCCGCACCTCGATTATGCGGTTCAGTTCTGGTGCCCCTATTATAGAATGGATATAAATTCACTAGTCAGGATAGGTTAAAGAAACTTAACTTGCATTCCCTAGAAAGACGAAGAGTGCGGGGAGATATGAGAGAAGTATTTAAGTGGGTGAAAGGAATCAATAAAGGGGATATAGATAAAGTTCTTATAATATCCGAGCAGGATAGGACTCGTAGCAACGGATTTCAGTTGGATAAGTTTAGGTTAAGGAGGGAGATAGGAAGGAACTGGTTCACAAATAGGGTGGTGGACGAGTGGAACAAGCTTAGCAACTTTGTAGTAAGTGCTGGAACGCTGGAAAGTTTCAAAAGGAGGCTAGATAGATTCATGGATGATAGAGAGTGGTAGTAACTCTCGACAGGAGCTGCCATGCACAGGCCAACCGGCCTATTGCAGACTCCTTATTTTCTTATGTTCTTCCCCAGTATTGTTATTGGGAAAGGGGGGGGAGGGCTAAATCACAAACGAGTAATTTCCAACAAAAACAATGGTCATATTTTGAACTAATCGCATTAAAATTCATCAGAAAACCATTTTTTTCTTCTAATTCCATGGTTGCTGTAATATGCATATTTACCGACTGGGAAACCCCTTATGTTACAACTTCAATACTCACGGTAGCTGCCACCACCCAGGTTTTTCTATCAGAACATACTGTATAATATTCCATTAATCATTTAACTAACGTGACAATAACAGGACACGTGGCGAGGGCTGGGCACGTGGGTTTGTTTTAAGTTAATGGTATCACGGTATAGGTGTTGTGTAGTATGACCCAAGCCACATCACATACCTGCCAACAATGATTACTGTCCCTTGTCATGACTCACACAGCTCTGCATTATGATTCCATTCTCGGTGTCGACGTTCTGGTAGAGAATCAGGTACGCGGGATGACTTATACGTCCACGGTGTAGGTTTTCTTGTCTTAATCACACACAGAGTTAACCGCCAAAAGCAGCGTCCAAAAAATATATGAACGGACACAAACTTGTTTAATCATAATGTACAAGAGTTCAACACAATAGAATCACAAGAAGGCATTTAACACATAAAGTAATAAGGAGAAATAGGTTCCAGTATAGCATCCAATTCTACATATAATAGAAAACGTTCCTATTTAATGGTAAACTACAGATTCTCGTTCATCATGGCAAAGTGTTTTATTTGAATATACTACATTTCCTTCCCCTTTACAAAATATCACACATATAAGCTACATAGTACAGGCTCATTAATCTAATCTATCTGACGGAACGATGGAGTACCTTCCTTGCTACTGGACAAAGACTTTTTACTTTTATCCTCTTCACCACTGATCGGTTCGTTAGCCTCTTGGGCGATCGGTCACGTCTCTGTTACTTTTCCTTTTCTTTTATCCTCTTCACCACATTTTCTGGTACCTTTGTGATGTGTTATGCTTAGTTGGTTAAGCTCTAGATTATATTGTTTGAAGTTCTTTTATATTTCTTATATTATGTTATGTTTAATTGTGTTAAGCCAATTCTGTTACTTGAAGCTTAGTCATTCTTAATTTGTAATTCCTGTTTATTCTATTTATTACAGATCTATGGATATGGATGTTGCATTTAGTTAAATAAAGCCTCCCTGTGCTTACCTTCGTTTTCATAATAATTTATTCAACTTAATGATGGAGAGGTTTATGAGGCCAGACCGTTTTGTTGTGGACCCAAACCCAGCATCAGCCGCCAAGCGGTGGGCTCACTGGCACCCAACTTTTACAAACTTTCTGTAAGCACTCACAACTGAGGCCACTCAGCCGAACAGCCTGAATCTCCTGATCAACTACGTTGCACCATCTGTCTACGAATTCATTGCTGACTTTGACTCATACGAAGATGCTGTTAACACGCTCAAGGAGCTTTATATCAAACCTAAAAATGATATCTTTGCCAGACATGTTTTAGCACATGACCTACCTCAGCACATGACCTACCTCAGCACGTGACCTGCCTTCGCACATGACCTGCCGCAGCACATGACCTGCCTTAGCACATGACCTACCTCAGCACACGACCTTCCTTAGCACATGACCTACCTCAGCACATGACCTACCTCAGCACATGACCTGCCTTAGCACATGACCTACCTCAGCACATGACCTGCCTCAGCACATGACCTACCTTAGCACATGACCTGCCTCAGCACATGACCCGCCTCAGCATGGCCTACCTCAGCACATGACCTACCTCAGCACATGACCTGCCTCAGCACATGACCTGCCTTAGTACATGACCTGCCTCAGCACATGACCTATCTCAGCACATGACCTGCCTCAGCACATGACCTGCCTCAGCACATGACCTGCCTCAGCACATGACCTACCTCAGCACATGACCTGCCTCAGCACATGACCTGCCTTAGCATGACCTGCCTCAGCACATGACCTATCTCAGCACATGACCTGCCTCAGCACATGACCTGCCTCAGCACATGACCTGCCTCAGCACATGACCTGCCTTAGCATATGACCTGCCTCAGCACATGACCTATCTCAGCACATGACCTACCTTAGCACATGACCTGCCTCAGCACATGACCCGCCTCAGCTCATGATCCGCCTCAGCAAATGACCTGCCTCAGCACATGGCCTACCTCAGCACATGACCTGCCTCAGCACATGACCTGCCTTAGCACATGACCTGCCTCAGCACATGACCTATCTCAGCACATGACCTGCCTCAGCACATGACCTGCCTCAGCACATGACCTGGCTGCCGCTAACAGTGTCACGTTACTGACAGGACACACCAAATTGCATTTGGCGTATTGACAGATATTTGTTACCAATTTCCTCGTTGTGCGGTGTTTGTGTGGAACATTCTCAGCGTTTTTGGAAAGAAGAAAAAAATCGTGCGAGTCACATACGTCCACAGCTCCATCCACACCTTCATCCACACTACTCTACCCACCTATATCTACACTACTGTACCCACTAGCACACACACACACACACATTATTACTCTTACTTACTACTTTGCAGTCACTTGGTATTCGAGTATGACGATCATCCAGCTATGATACAATGATATGAGTTATTAGGGATGTCACATTCATTGGTGAGTTTTGAGGTGACGAAAGAGGCCGATATGGGACTGGCAGATTCGTTCACAGATGTTGCACATGTGGAGGGCTAAATCGAGTGCGGGAGGGGCGGTGGCAACGTCTTTCCGGCGTTGGCGCTTGTCTGCCTCGGTTTGCAGTCGGGCTAGCTCGAAAGTATTGACACCTTCTCGAGTGGTGCTCCTCCAAGCGTTACAATGTGGAGTAATCGTCTCCCAGGTGAGGGGGTCGATTTGGCACTATTTCAGGTTTGTCTTAAGACTATCCTTATACCTTTTCAGTTGCCTGCCAGCGTCACGTTCACTATTCGTTAGGTGACTGTAAAGTAGCTGCTTTGGCAGTCTACTGTCGTCCATGTGGGTAACATGGCCAGTCCAGCATAGTTGTTCATGGATAATGGTAGCCTCGATGCTCCTACAGTTGGTGTCAGCAAGAATACTGGCATTTGTTCTCTTGTCTTCCCAGCGAACTCGGAGGATGGAACGTAGACTACGTTGGTGAAAGTTTTCAAGTGCCTTAAGGTGCCTCCTGTATGTGACCCATGTCTCACTGCCATATAGCAGGGTGGGGAGGACCACTGCTCGATATACGTGTAACTTTGCAGATAATTTCAGCTCCCTACAGCTGAAGACACGGGTGCGGAGTCTGCCAAAGGCTGGAGATGCACATCTGATCCGATGCTGAATCTTTTTATCGACGTCCGTGGTGGTGGACAGGTGGGAGCCGAGATACTGAAAGAGGGTAACATTAGAGAGGGTAGTACCGTTAAGTTGGATGGATGATGGAGGTGTGGCTGAACCAGGGGCAGGCTGAAAGAGAATCTGAGTCTTACGTACATTCATCTCGAGGCCGAAGTGTGCATACGCATCTGTATAGGTGTTCAGGATACTCCTGTAGGTCTCGTTCAGTGTGCGCAAGAAGAGTGAGGTCGTCTGCATACTGAAGTTCAGTAATGGAAGCTGCCAACACCTTTGTTCTTGCCTGGAGTAGTCTTATATTGAAAAGACCCCCCTTCACCAGTTACTCAATGTTCACACCCCCCCCCCGGCTAAATAGGCACTGGCACGACTAAGGAAGGCAGCCAAGAAAATGGAAAAGAGAGGTGGTGCCAGTACGTACACACACACACACACACACACACACACACACTCTCTCTCTCTCTCTCTCTCTCTCTCTACTTTTCGGACACATTTGCAGGTAAACGGTGTTATGAAGGAGGTTAATATATCGGGCCAATATGGTGGGGAATTACTGCTGGTGGTGTGGACGCAAAAGTGTTGATGTGGATGAAGCACCTGTGGAATGCATGTAATACATCTTGTATGGGTGTAGTATTTATTGGTGTAGATTATAGTGTAGCGAGTGTAGTACTAGTGGACTAAGTGTAATACTGTTGTAAAGGGAAACGTGTAATATTAGTCATTTGGGTGTAGCACCTGTTTTGTTGGTGTAGTACTAGTGGTGTGGGAGTAGTACTAGTGGTGTGGGAGTAGTACTAGTGGTGTGGGTGTAGTACTAGTGGTGTGGGAGTAGTACTAGTGGTGTGGGAGTAGTACTAGTGGTGTGGGTGTAGTACTAGTGGTGTGGGAGTAGTACTAGTGGTGTTGGGGTATTACTATGGGTGTAGCTAATTAGTGGTGGTAGTAGTACTGGTGGTGTGGGAGTAGTACTAGGGGTAGTGGTGGGTGGAGTACTAGTATTAGTACTAGTGGTGTGGGGTAGTGGTATTGGTGTAGTACTAGTGTGGTAGTGGGTGTAGTACTAGTGGTGTGGGGTAGTACTAGTGGTGTGGGTACTAGTGGTGTGGGAGTAGTACTGAGTGGTGTGGGGTGGTACCTAGTGAATGGTGTGGGTGTAGTACTAGTGGTGTGGGTGTAGTACTAGTGGTGTGGGGTACTAGTGGTGTGGATGTAGTACTAGTGGTGTGGGGTGTAGTACTGGTGGTGTGTGGTGTAGTACTAGTGGTGTGGATGTAGTACTAGTGGTGTGGGTGTGCTGTGGTGTGGGTAGTACTAGTGGTGTGGTAGTAATTAGAGGTATGGGGTGTAGTAACTAGTGGTGTCAGTACTGAGTGGTGTAGTACTATGGTGTGGAGTAGTACTAGTGGTGTGGGGTGGTACTAGTGGTGTGGGAGTAGTACTAGAGGTGTGGGTGTAGTACTAGAGGTGTGGGGTAGTACTAGTGTAGTACTAGTGGTGTGGGAGTAGTACTAGTGGTGTGTAGTACTAGTGGTGTGGGTGTAGTACTAGTGGTGTACTAGTACTAGTGGTGTGGGGTGTAGTACTAGTGGTGTGGGTGTAGTACTTGTAATTATGTATTGCTAGTGGTGTGGGTGGTGTGGGTGTAGTACTAGTGGTGTGGATGTAGTACTCAGTGGTGTGGGTGTAGTACTAGTGGTGTGGTGTGGGTGTAGTACTAGTGTAGTGGGTGTGGCCAGTGTGTGGAGTAGTACTAGTGTGTGGGGAGTGTACTAGTGGTGTGGGTGAGTAGTACTAGTGCTAGTAGAGTTGTGGATGTAGTACTAGTGGTGTGGGTGTAGTACTAGTGGTAGTAACTAAATTGTCATGTAGTACTAATAGTGTGGGTGGGTGTGGTACTGGTGGTGGTGTGGGTGTTGGGTGGTACCACTGGGTGGTGTGGGAGTAGTAGTGGTGTGGGAGTAGTACTAGTGGTGTGGGTGTAGTACTAGTGGTTGTGGGTGTGGTACTAGTGGTGTGGGAGTAGTACTGGTGTGTAGTACTAGTGGTGTGTGTACTAGTGGTGTGGGTGTAGTACTAGTGTACTAGTGGTGTTGGTGTGGTACTACTAATTGATTGTGTGGTGTGGTGTGGGTACTAGTGGGTGTAGTACTAGTGGTAGTTGTGGTGTGTGTGGTGTAGTACTAGTGGTGTGGTGTAGTACTAGTGGTGTGGTGTACTAGTGGTGTGGTGTAGTACTGGTGTGGGGAGTGGTACTAGCTAGTGGTGTGGGTGCTAGTACTAGTGGTGTGGGAGTAGTACTAGTGGTGTGGGTGTAGTACTAAGTGGTGTCAGTGTGGTGTGGGTGTGGTACTAGTGGGTGTGGGTGTAGTACTAGTGGTGTGGGGTGTAGTGCTAGTGGTGTGGGAGTAGTACTAGTGGTGTGGGTGTAGTGCTAGTGGTGTGTCACTATGTGTACTAGTGGTGTGGGTGTACTGATGGTGGTGGTGTGTACTAGTGGTGTGGGTGTAATACTAGTGTGTGTGGGTGTATCGGTGGTGTGGGTGTAGTACTAGTGGTGGGTGGTGTGGTGTAGTACTGGTGGTGTGGGTGTAAGTTGGTGTGGTGTAGTACTAGTGGTAGTGGTGTGGTGTAGTACTAGTAGGTGTGGGTGTAGTACTAGTGGTGTTGGTGTAGTAGTGTTGTGGGTGTAGAAGTAATAGTACTAGTGGTGTGGGTGTAGTACTAGTGGTGTGGGTGTAGTACTAGTGGTGTGGGTGTAATACTAGTGGTGTGGAATACACTGTACTGGTGGTGTGGGTGTGTAGTACTAGTGGTGTGGGTGTAGTACTAGTGGTGTGGGTGTAATACTAGTAGTGGTGTGGGTGTAGTAGTGGGGTGGGTGTAGTACTAGTACTGTGGTGTGGTGTAGTACTAGTGGTGTGGTGTGGGTGTGTAGTAGTGGTGTAGTGGTGTGGGTGTAAGTGGTGTGGGTGTAGTACTAGTGTGTAGTAGGGTGTAATACTGGTGGTGTGGGGTAGGTGTAGTACTAGTGGTAAGTGGTGTGTAGTACTAGTGGTGGGGTGTGTACTGGTGGTGTGTGGTGCTAGTGGTGTGGGTACTGGTGGTGTGGGTGTGTGCTATTGTGGTGTGATTGTGGGTGTACAGTAGTGGTAGTGGGTACCGTCCTGGTGGTACAGTAGTACTAGTGGCGTGTGGTACTAGTTAGTGTAGAGTGGTGTGTAGTACTAGTGGTGGTGTGTGTGTAGTAGTGGGTGTGTGTACTAGTGGTGTGGTACTAAGTACTAGTTGTGGGTGTAGTACTAGTAGTATTGTGGAGTAGTACTAGTGGTGTGGGTGTAGTACTAGTGGTGTGGAGTGTACTAGTGTGTAGTACTAGTGGTGTGCTATTAGTACTAGTGTAGTACTGTGGTAGTAGTACTAGTGGTGTGGGTGTAGTACGTGATTGTGTAGTACTAGTACTAGTGGTGTGGGTGTAGTACTAGTGTGTGGGTGTAGTATTGTAGTACTGTAGTGAGTGTAGTACTGTGGTGTGGGTGTAGTACTACTAGTGGTGTAGTACTAGTGGTGTGGGTGTAGTACTAGTGGTGTGGGTGTAGTACTAGTGGTGTGGGTGTAGTACTAGTGGTGTGGGTGTAGTACTAGTGGTGTGGGTGTAGTACTAGTGGTGTGGGTGTAGTACTAGTGGTGCAGGTGTAGTACTAGTGGTGTTGGTGTAGTACTAGTGGTGCGGGTGTAGTACTAGTGGTGTGGGTGTAGTGCTAGTGGTGTGGGTGTAGTACTAGTGGTGTTGGTGTAGTACTAGTGGTGTGGGTGTAGTACTAGTGGTGTGGGTGTAGTACTAGTGGTGTGGATGTAGTACTAGTGGTGTGATTGCAATACTAGTGGTATGTGTGTGTGTGTGTGTGTGTGTGTGTGTTGCATTTATAAAGTTCCTTGCAAGGAATGTAATATGTTTTACTTAGGCCAGACAGGTAAAGATCTTGTAACTAGAATTAAACAACACAAATATAGTGTTAGGACAGGCCAGGAATCCAATGCTCTGTTTGTTCATTTGAGAGATAACAAGCATTGCATTGACTGGGATAATGCCTCCTCAATATTACCTTGTAATTCAATTGATAGTAGGAACATCATAGAATCTAGTCTTATTAAACATACCGAAGCATTCAACATGAATTTGAGTAACGGCTTGTCAAACTGGACAATTTTGTAATTAATAAGATTTTTAACCAGGTGAGAAGGGCGGGTCACCTTACCCTCTGACCTGACCACCAACCGTTGTGTGCTATTTAAAGATTAGTAGGGTCATTACCCAATACCTGGCCATTATGGACCTGGTCTCACTCTCCTCTGTCTATATACACCTTGTTTTGTACTTCTCTTTAGTCTGTACTCACCCCTGAAGATGTGAATTACACGAAAGCGCTTGGGAACTTCGTGTTTTCTTCTTTCCTTGTGGTTATCAGCATATACCTAGATCACGCACCTACAGTGATTTACTTGCATATATATATATATATATATATATATATATATATATATATATATATATATATATATATATATATATATATATATATATATATATATATATATATATATATATATATATATATATATATATATATATATATATATATATATATATATATATATATATATATATATATATATATATATATGTATATATATAGTAGTGGGGGTGGTGAAGGCCTCACCAACAACCACTACTTGGACTAGACTGCCTTCCTGACTTTTACCTTGGCTGGGTCGTTCATTACCTCAGTGTGGCAGGTGGTGGTGTGTGTGTTGGTCCGTCTGGGCTTAATATGGTGGTGACAAATAAAAGGCACATCCGTCTCTGCTTTGGTTTATTCACTTCGACAAGGATATATGGTACATTGTCTCTAAAACAATTTGCATATTGAGAGGGGAATATTGACGCCGAGTGGGAGACAGTGGGCCGCGCCTCCACCCCCGCCCACCCCTCTGCCCGTGGGCGTGGGTGGGCGGGGGCGGAACACGGCGGGTACAGTTTGTGCTGCCTGACCAGACCTACGCCCGCCCACTAACCCACTAGCTACGCCCACTCCGCCTCGCGCCCACTCTCTTCTTCTCTCTTTCTCTTATCATAAGAATATATGCCATCGGTGGGTGTGGGCGCGAGAGGTGTAAGCGTAGGCGTGGGTGTAAGGGGCGTGGGGGCCATGTGGTGGTCACCCTCGTATGCAACAACTGAAGTAGAGTGTGGTGGCCGACGCTCGCCACGCGTCATAACCTTTAAATCTACACTTGTGTTAAGGCATGTAAGGAGGTCTCTAGCACATGGACTAAAAATAGGGTGCAGTATACATACAGCACTAGAGGGTAGAAAGAGACGGTGGGCGACAGTCTGTACAGCGGCTGATGCTACTCTAACGTCTCCAGATGCGCACACAACAAGGTTCTCCTTGAAACAGCTAAAAGCTTGCGATCAGTCCTCGCTGGTCGTCTCTGTACAATGTTCACTTTATAAAAACATGATGATATGTGTCCAGTATGATCTATAATAGACCACATGTATTATTTAGACTTACTAACAGTGGCGCATGTTTTCCAACAGAACCACACAGAAGAGTATTATTATTGCACTGTGATCAGTCCAGGTTGTGAGGCATTCCGGTGCGAGGGAGGGGGAGGGTGGCTGAGCGTGGGGCTGGGTGAAGGGGGGAGCTGGTCCCCGGGATTATGCCAGTAAGGTGGGTGGAGCAGGCCACTGGTCGCTCCGAGGCACGTCGCTCCTTCTGGCTCCATCAGGGACCCCTAACAAGTGTTTATCATACCTGCTTCACAGTAATTATCACTTTAGTATAATTGCTGATATACCCACAGTAAACATGAGAGTGAGGTGAGTGGTTATAAGCTAAGGAAGCGTGTGTGAGGCGGCCTTGCGGCCGACCTGCCCACCCTCGCCTCCACCTCCCCCGACTGTGTAGGAACGGTCGGCCTCCTCTTTTGTGCACTTTTGACTCAATGCTGATGAGGTTACCAGAACCGACGCACGTAGTATTTCATCACGATGACTTAAGCCTATATAGTCTCACCACTTACATAGTAAACAACCGACAAAAGGGCGAAGCTTTGTTGTAGAGCGTTAGTAAGTTAGTTAGTTAGTCTAGAGTGTGGTATACATGCAGGCAAGAAGGTCTCGGCAGAAAAAAATCTGCCTTAGTTATATTTTCACCCTTGTCGCTTTTGTCTGTAGTAACACTTCACATTGTTTATTGGTGTCTAACTTTACTTGACAAAACTATTTGGGCAAGTCATCCAAAACAAAACATGCAACAACAAAAAGTCACCTTACATTCTAGAAAAAGCTAAGCTATTCACAAAGCTATGGTTCCTGGACGACCCGCCCAAATTCTTGTACTAAAACCACCATCACGGTTTTGAACGAACTCAAAACATTGAGTCTAACAGAGATTTAAGTAGAAATGAGACAGAAATTCCTTAAATATATATATGGTACCATCTTTTTTAATGTTTACAGCGTAGGTCACTTGTTTCACATGCTGCCACAGAAGGAACCTACTACATACATTATTCTCTATATAAAAGTGTAAAAGAATGCATATGTTTGCCCTTGCTTAATGACGTCACTCACAGGAAGTTCGTCATCTTGTCCTTGAGGTGGAAGTGTTATGTAGGACGCTGCTGCAGAGCAAGGCTGCCAGCTCAGGTGTAGTCCAGGCTTCATCCTACCTCTGTAACACTCCGGCTGATTCTCGCGATAAAACCTTCAAACTTATTGAAATTTTGTGTGAGAAAGATAGCAACTGTTGAACTAACCAGAGACTCACTGACTTCATATACTCCGGTCTGTCTATATCTTAAACATTATTTTGATTCTTCTTTTTTTATAAGTCGCGTTTTCATAAATTTAAAAACCTGGCTGGCTGGAACAGCTCAATATACGTTCAAGTATTGTCGGACAAATCAAATATAAATAATAATGAAAAATTATAATAGAAAACCTGACTTTTGAGCTCCATGTGTGAGTGTGGGAGACTGAGAAAGTGTCGTCGTCATAAACAAAGATAGTGTCGGCGTTGACAGATATACGATAACTCTCTGACCTAGCAGTCAACACTCTCACACGGTACACCTTCAACTTTTCTCTGTCTTTTACAAAAATAAGTGTAACAACATCTCTTACAGCACCTAATAAATGTGAAAATTATCTCTACAAAAAAAAAGCCCTATCTTTTTACAGGCCACTAAGAGAAAATGAAAAAGGAGTGAGCTTGGCAGTTTGTTAGTGTGCCGGAGGTGTGACACACTATATCAAAATATACATTTGTCATTAAATAAAAAAAAGTTGGCTGCTGAACAGTGACAACACGGATACTGCGGATTGAAAAGTCTTAACAAAACTACTTGAGAGAAGAAAGGTAAAAAGCCTCGTCGCCCAACTCCCACAAGGATGGTGGAGCTGCACTCATAACGTTGTTGACTTTAGGGGTTACGGGGCGACACAGAATTTTTAAAATAAGATTTATAGATGGAATGGATGGTGGAGTAATGGAGCGTCTTCTGCAGACAACAACCTCACTAAATCAACAATAAATACACAATAATCCACAACCACATTTGTTCTTCCTAACCAATTAAAATTAATGACCAGAAATATGTTAAGTACCCTAGTAAAAATGTAACAAAATAATAAAGTTTGATGTGGTAACCCCGGCGGCCCGGAGGAAGGGTGGGGAGGGGGCGGCCCGCAGGCGGTAAAGTCCCCACCCGGCGGGCCGCCCACACTCACCGATTGACTGATTGGGCGGCGGGGCGCTGCAGATTAACATAAATTTTCATCTCAATCTTGTTACAACCATGCCGTCGGCGTCACATACCCAACTCATCACATAAAACGGCAGCAGAAAAATCACTAACTGAGTTTATTTGGGCTGGTTAGTGCAGCGGCCGCTCGGGCGATACACAAAAACACTAAAAAGACTAGACGGGGATGGGTGAGGGCGACGCCCCAACATATCATACACTTACAACTTAACATTACTACTCATCCCTCACTATATCTCGCCCTACTTCTTATTATAAAAATATATTATAACAAACTTATTTAATTAACATAGGGAAAATAAGTTAGCAATAAAATTAGCAACACTTATTAAGTACATACTGTTGCAGAGTTTTTGACAGCAGTAAACATAACCTTTTAAGTACAATTTGTTTCCATTCTTTGGCAAAGTTTTGGAATGTTTGTAGAACAACATATTGACTAGCAAAGATTCTGAGCTTTGATTTACTGGAATGGCAACTGATGACTAGGAATGACGTTGACCTTGACTAAGATTGATGTATTATGACTAACATAAAGAGAACAGATCGTGTGACTAGACGTGTTGACGGCGGGTGGCCGCCCGTGGCTCTCACTTATAAAACTGTAACAGTCAGCACGTGACTTACACAATAAATACCATAAAATAAATAATAAACATCAAATTGTCCTAGACTAATATGCAGTAAACTTATAACTATGACAAGTCCATCTTGGCGTGACTAGTGACCGATGCGGAATGTGCTGAGATCATATGTTGTTTGTTGGAACCTTCCCGCCCTGACCGAGCATCATCTGATGTGACCTGAAGTGACCTGTGGTGTGTGTGGGCGTGCGGGCTAGCACCGCCGCGCCCCTGACTGGGCTGCTTGCTTGTACTGTGCGGGTGGGGCGAGGCGGGTGCCAGGGGCGTGCCCTGGGGCGGCGGGCCCACTAAGGGGCGTGCCCTATTGCTGAGGATGCCCGCTGGCGCCGGTCCTGTAGCAGCTACTGGTGGGCGTGGGGCAGCGCGGCTAGTGCGGCGCCAAGTATACCAGGGGCTGCGTGGTAGGCTGTCACAAGTCGTGTTCGTCTAGGCAGTGACCCACCATGGTATTGGTCTGGCCGCTCATCTGTGGCATCTGGGACATGTGGACCACTGTACCACCAGGAGCCAACCCGCACATCTTGGACCCGCTCTCATTATCGTCCTTCCACTTGTCCATGGAGCGGCGGCGAGCGTTCATGAAGAAGTTGCCCACAGTGGAGGGCTCTAGGCCCAGCTGCCGCGCGATGGTCACCTGCATCTCCTTGCTGGGCCGTTTCGTCTCCTGCAACACAAGATATTGTTACACTACAACACTGTGCCTCATTATACTCGCTACACCTACACCACAACACTGTGCTTCCTTATACTCGCTACATGTACGCCACACCACTGTACCTCTTTATACTCGTTACACCTACACCACAACACTGTGCCTACTTATACTCGCTACACCCACACCACAACACTGTACCTCTTTATACTCGCTACACCCACACCACAACACTGTGCCTTTTTATACTCGTTACTCACTACACCTACATCACAACTATACCATTAATAACCATTTAGATATTCACATATTTTTGCACATGAGTTTTCCACAACTGAGAGATGTTCTTTTGTCTGGTTCAACACACCGGATGACGCACCGCATGTTACAGTAATTTTCCTGACAAGGCCAACACCGTGTCTCACCAACACTGCGGGGGTGATCAGCGTGGGGGTGATCAGCGCGGGAGTGATCAGCGCAGGGGTGATCAGCGCAGGAGTGATCAGCGCGGGAGTGATCAGCGCAGGGGTGATCAGCGTGGGGGTGATCAGGCATGGGGTGATCAGCGCGGGGTTGATCAGCGCGGGGTGATCAGCGTGGGGTGATCAGCGGGGTGATCAGCGTGTGGGGTGATCAGCGCGGGAGTGATCAGCATGGGGTGATCAGCGCGGGGTTGATCAGCGCGGGGTGATCAGCGTGGGGTGATGGGGGTGATCAGCATGATCAGGGGTGATCAGCGTGGGGGTGATCAGCGGGGTGGTCAACATGGGGGTGATCAGCGTGGGGTGAACAACGGGGTGATCAGTGGGGTGATTAGCGGGGTGATCAACGTGGGGGTGAACAACGTGGGGTGATCAGCGGGGTGATCAGCGTGGTGATCAGCGGGGATGATCAGCGTGGGGTGATCAGCGCAGGGGTGATCAACGCAGGGGTGATCAGCGTGGGGTGATCAACGCGGGGTGATCAGCGGGGTGATCAGCGCGGGGTGACCAGCGCGGGGGTGATCAACGTGGGGGTGATCAGCGGGGGTGATCAGGGGGTGATCAACGGGGGTGAACAACGTGGGGTGATCAGCGTGGGATCAGCGGGGTGATCAACGGGTGAACAACATGGGGTGATCAGCGTCGGTGATGATCAACGGGGTGATCAGCGTGGGGATCGTGGGGGTGATTAAATGGGGTGATCAGCGGGGGGTGATTGGTGGTGGATTAATGGGGGTGATCAGCGTGGGGTGATCAGCGTGGGGGTGATCAGCGTGGGGGTGATTAATGGGGGTGATCAGCGGGGGTGATCAGCGTGGGGTGATCAGCGGGTGGGGGTGATCAGCGGGGTGATCAGCGGGGTGATCAGCGATCAGCGGGGGTGATCAACGCGGGGTGATCAGCGGGGGTGATCAACGCGGGGTGATCAGCGGGGTGATGGTGGCGCGGGGTGATCAACGTGGGAGTGATCAGCGCGGGGTGATCAGCGTCGGGGTGAAGCGTGGGGTGATCAACGCGGGTGATCAGCGTGGGGGTGATCGCGGTGATCAGCGTGGGGTGATCAGCGCGGGGGTGACCAGCGCGGGGTGATCAACGTGGGAGTGATCAGCGCGGGGGTGACCAGCGCGGGGGTGATCAACGTGGGGGTGATCAGCGCGGGGGTGATCAGCGCGGGCAGTTGAGAGTACAACTGGACGTGTATCACTAACGCGATCATCATATATCTAAGATAACGGCTTATGTCTACCAACACTACAACAAACCTTCTTAGTTATCACAAATTAAGTTCTCTAATGACGGTGACTAAATTCTGTATCTTATTACATCATACACGCTTCTACCCAACGATGTATGTATGTACAGTATGTATGTATACCGTAGTGCAATACATCGCACTTTATCTTATTTATTTTGTCAACCAAATCTGTACATCCAGTTAAGGTGGAAGGCTGGGGGCATTAGTGAAGGAAGACCTTAGTGAGGTATTTGAACTGGAGGAGGACGGCGCCCTTGAGCCTTGGTGTGGACCCCGGCCCCTGCGTCACCGTCTCCCTCACACAGAAAGAAAGCCAGGCTGAGGGCACGGCGCGGCCTGCATACACGTCTCTCTCTTTAATTATGGCTCTGAGGCCGGCCAGCCGAGCACCCTCATCGAACAAGACACTCATTAATTTGTGAAAGAGAGTCGACCCTTCAAGAGCTCTTCCCGCTCTCTCTCAAGCGCCCCGCCCCGTTTTCTGTAAGCGCCATATTGTTTGGTTTTTGGCAGTGTTTTGTATTTTTTTTTATACACTGGCCAATGAGTCAAGATGGTGTGGTGTATTGTCCCCACCAGGTGACCCCGGGGACTCCTTCACATCAAAGAGGACAGGTAGGAAGGTGGCAGGTGTGGGGAGGTGAGTGGTGGTGTGGGGGACGTCACTCTACCTCCCCTCCCCCCTGACACACACACACACACACCTGGTCGTCTCACCTTTAGTTAGTGGCAAATGATCCCATCAATTACTTCCAGTGACCAAGGACGCTGCGGAAGCTTCTTGTAAGAAAATTTTCAGAAATCCCACAGGCAGGAAGACATCTGAAGGCTGGAGTAATAACACTTCAGATAGCGAAGACTCCCCCACCCAACCCACCCCCCTCCCGGCCCTCAGCCTCTCCGGGTCATCCTGAGTGAGATGCCTCATTATCATCCGCCACTTAGACTGGTAGGCAGAAATAACGAAATATTACTGAGGTTACATGTGCTGCCTCCCGCTAACTCCCACACACACTCTTACCGTGCTGCCTCCCGCTAACTCCTACACACACTCTTACCGTGCTGCCTCCCCGCTAACGCCTACAACCTGCCTCCCGCTAACTCCCACACACACTCTACCGTGCTGCCTCCCGCTAACTCCCACACACTCTTACCGTGCTGCCTCCCCACTCTTAACTCCTAACACACACTTACCGTGCTGCCTCCCACTAACTCCCTACACACACTCTTACCGTGCTGCTTCCCTAACTCCTACACACACTCTTACCGTGCTGCCTCCCTAACTCCTACACACACTCTTACCGTGCTGCTTCCTTTAACTCCCCACACACACTCTTCCGTGCTGCCTCCCACTAACTGCCTCCCACTAACTCCCTACACACCTCTTACCGTGCTGCCTCCCCTAACTCCCTACACACTCTTACCGTGCTGCACTCCACTAACTCCTACACACCTCTTACCGTGCTGCCTCCCACTAACTCCTACACACACTCTTACCGTGCTGCCTACTCCTACACACACTCTTACCGTCTGCTTCCTCAACTCCCACACACACTCTTACCGTGCTGCCTCCCACTAACTCCTACACACACTCTTACCGTGCTGCCTCCCACCTGCTCCTACACACACTCTTACCTGCTGCTTCCTGCCAACTCCCCACACACACTCTTACCGTGCTGCCTCCACTAACTCCCTACACACACTTACCTTACCGTGCTGCCTCACACTAACCCTACACACACCTACCGTGCTGCCTCCCACTAACTCCCACACACACTCTACCGTGCTGCCTCCCCACTAACTCCTACACACACTCTACCGTGCTGCCTCCCACTAACTCCCTACACACACTCTTACCGTGCGTGCCTCCCGCTAACTCCCACACACTCTTACCGTGCTGCCTACCACACTCACTCCCACTAACTCCTACACACACTCTTACCGTGCTGCCTCCCACTAACTCCTACACACACTCTTACGTGCTGCCTCACACTCTTATGTGCTGCCTAACCTACACACACTCTTACCGTGCTGCCTCCCACTAACTCCTACACACACTCTACCGTGCTGCCTCACTAACTCCCCACACACTCTTACCGTGCTGCCTCCCACTAACTCCTACACACACTCTTACCGTGCTGCCTCCCCTCCTACACTCTTGCTGCCTCCCACTAACTCCTACACACACTCTTACCGTGCTGCCTCCCACTAACTCCTACACACACTCTTACCGTGCTGCCTCCCACTAACTCCTACACACACTCTTACCGTGCTGCCTCCCGCTAACTCCTACACACACTCTTACCGTGCTGCCTCCCACTAACTCCTACACACACTCTTACCGTGCTGCCTCCCGCTAACTCCCACACACTCTTACCGTGCTGCCTCCCACTAACTCCTACACACACTCTTATCGTGCTGCCTCCCACTAACTCCTACACACACTCTTACCGTGCTGCCTCCCGCTAACTCCTACACACACTCTTACCGCTATAACCTTCTCTAATAATTGTTGCCCCTCGTGTTAGAGGATGGCCGGCCCGAGAGCCACCTAGGTGTAGAAGCTGTCGCCAGCACAACAGCTACACCCTAAGCTAACGAGCTGTACGACACAGTGTCTAGGGATAATCCGAAAAGACCGAATATCTCGCCAACTGCACTGGCTAACCATTGCCCCGGAACGCAATCCACAAATCTATTAACATCCAGGGTCGCCAATTACTGTTGGGTAGACACAGGTAAATGACGGAAAGAAACTTGCCCATAGTTTTATTATGCCCGGGGATCGAACCCGGGTCTACTCGCTTGTAAGGCGAGCACACTCTTAGCACTCACTAACACCACCTCCTACACGCACTCTTACCACTCACTAGCACCACCTCCTACACACACTCTTACCACTCACTAGCACCACCTCCTACACGCACACTTACCACTCACTAGCACCACCTCCTACACGCACTCTTACCACTCACTAGCACCACCTCCTACACACACTCATACCACCAACATCACCTCTCAACCTCCTACACGCACTCTTACCTTCACAGAATAAGTGTTAGATAATAAAATGTGGCACGGTGTACGACACGATTTTCTGCTGACTTCAGTGGTCTTGGGTGACATTTCCGGCATCACAGATATAAAAGTGTTAATGTGTCATATGTCATATTCCCATGTAGCATCTTCTATCTTCTCCTGCATACCTAAAAATGTTGAAGGGGAAGGTGAAGGGACTTACCCCACCTAATCCCCCCCAGTTTATTTTTTCACTTAAAAAATCAGAACGTGACATTTCCCCTCCCCCTCCTCTGGGTCAACCCGCGGGGCTATTATTTTCTAATGATATTGATAACCCGGTCAACAGTAGTAGTAGCGGGGAGCAAATGGGTTTTAGGTATCGGAAACCAATAGAGCGAGAATCCAGGACCGACCCCGGAGGCTGACCCTTACTGGCCATTAGTCACAATAAATTCTTGATGGAAAACCTTATCACAGTCTTAGTGGTGAGACGCGGTGTCTTAGCCTCCACACACACTTAAACCTACAAACTGAACACCATACTTTTCTTTTTACCATCGTGTCCGTTTGGAGGTTTTGTTTGGCAATGAGTAAAAGTGAGAAGCTTTGGTTGGTCCTCACTCAGAGCAGCTGTGGCCGCCCACGCACCCCCCCCCCCTCCTCCCCACCACCACCTTAAATACAACCGTTTTTTCACCTACAGTTTTCCTCAAAGTTGGGTAAAATTTTCAGTTTTTATCCAGGCCATTAGCGCCATATTTTTTCGCATCATCTTCACCTGATAGCGAAGACTCATTAACTGATCCAACTGAGGCATGTACCGCCCAGGTCACCCACCCACGTGATGTACACGCCACCACCCACTACCACCATCTGGGTCTACACCACCACTACCACCATCTGGGTCTACACCACCACTACCACCATCTGGGTCTACACCACCACTACCACCATCTGGGTCTACACCACCCACTACCACCATCTGGGTCTACACCACCACTACCACCATCTGGGTCTACACCACCACTACCACCATCTGGGTCTACACCACCATCTATAACCCTGTACTCTCACTGGCGTTATGGTAACTAATTAGGCCAGTATGACAATTACATATTTATATATCTAAATAAAACAAGATATTACTATTATTGCTATTACTACTACTAATGATAATATAAACAATATATTATTATTATTATTATTATTATTATTATTATTATTATTATCATTATTATTATTATTACAATTGTTATTATTATTATTATTGCAATTACTACTATATTATTACAATTATTATTATTATTATTATTATTATTATTATTATTATTATTATTAAAATTACTACTATTGCTACTATTATTATTAAATTATTATTATTATTATTATTATTATTATTATTATTATTATTATTATTATTATTATTATTATTATTAAAATTACTACTATTACTACTATTATTATTAAATTATTATTATTATTATTATTATTATTATTATTAAAATTACTACTATTACTACTATTATTATTATTACAATTATTATTATTATTATTATTATTATTATTATTATTATTAAAATTACTACTATTACTACTATTATTATTATTACAATTATTATTATTATTATCATTAACCTTAATAACGGGGGTCACTAACAGCATGCAGTGACTCACCTTAAAAATAGCTTGCAGTGTACGACGCTGCAAGTCCGTGAAAACTAGTCGTGGCTTCTTGGGCGCAGGCTGCTGGTCTGGGTGGCTTTGTTGCTCCTCTTTCCTTTTGCAGGCTGTGGAGAGATGAGGTTTTGAGTGAGGTGGTCATGAGGGAGTGAGGAAGGCTGTGGAGAGATGAGGTGGTGAGTGAGGTGGTCATGAGGGAGTGAGGAAGGCTGTGGAGAGATGAGGTGGTCATGAGGGAGTGTACAGTACATTATATAGTACAGTAATAATTGCATATGTATACAAAACTCATCGTGGATAATTATACTTAACATACAATATTATAATAAGTCTTACTAAACAAATTATTATTATTACCTAAAACTGAAGCTTATTACAAAAATATTAGTAGTAAGACAAGCTGTTACTTTCCTTATACCAGTACATCTTCGCCTAGCTCAGGTTAAGTCTTTATGTATATATTTCTCCTATCACCGTGTGCGTATATATGTATACACACATTAGACACACACACACACACATCGTGAACCTCGTCTCAAATAAAACAAATACTATATGAAATAATTTACATTAAGTTATAATAACAAAAATAAATAGTTATCCTTAGTTGGCACAAATCTCATTGAAGATTTAATAGACGATTATCACTATTTGGGCCAGTGTTGGCCAGGTGGCTTGATCGGTGTTGGCCAGGTGGCTTGATCGGTGTTGGTCAGGAGGCTGGCCCAGTGTTGGCCAGGTGGCTTGATCGGTGTTGGTCAGGAGGCTGGCCCAGTGTTGACCAGGAGGCTGGCCCAGTGTTGGCCAGGTGGCTGGCCCAGTGTTGACCAGGAGGCTGGCCCAGTGTTGGCCAGGTGGCTTGATCGGTGTTGGTCAGGAGGCTGGCCCAGTGTTGACCAGGAGGCTGGCCCAGTGTTGGCCAGGTGGCTTGATCAGTGTTGGTCAGAGCTGGCCAGTGTTGAGGGCTGGCCCAGTATTGTCAGGAGGCTGGCAGTGTTGGCCAGGAGGCTTGACCAGTGTTGGCCAGGTGGCTGGACCAGTGTTGGCCAGGAGGCTGGCCCAGTGTTGGCCAGGTGGCTTGATGGTGTTGGTCAGGAGGCTGGCCCAGTGTTGACCAGGAGGCTGGCCCAGTGTTGGCCAGGTGGCTGGCCCAGTGTTGACAGGAGGCTGGCCCAGTGTTGGCCAGGTGGCTTGATCGGTGTTGGTCAGGAGGCTGGCCCAGTGTTGGCCAGGAGGCTGGCCCAGTGTTGGCCAGGAGGCTGGCCAGTGTTGACCAGGAGGCCGGCAGTGTTGGCCAGGTGGCTTGATCGGTGTTGGTCAGGTGGCTGGCCCAGTGTTGGCCAGGAGGCTGGCCCAGTGTTGACCAGGAGGCTGGCCCAGTGTTGGCCAGGAGGCTGGCCAGTGTTGACCAGGAGGCTGGCCCAGTGTTGGTCAGGAGGCTGGCCCAGTGTTGACCAGGAGGCTGGCCCAGTGTTGGTCAGGGAGGCTGGCCCAGTGTTGGTCAGGAGGCTGGCCCAGTGTTGGTCAGGAGGCTGGCCCAGTGTTGGTCAGGAGGCTGGCCCAGTGTTGGTCAGGAGGCTGGCCCAGTGTTGGTCAGGAGGCTGGCCCAGTGTTGGTCAGGAGGCTGGCCCAGTGTTGGTCAGGAGGCTGGCCAAGTGTTGGCCAGGAGATTGGCCCAGTGAATACTTCCTTTTCTTACCCTGACTCAGCTTACGAATAAACCGCTTCGAATACAGCAGTAACTTCATCAGCTTCATCACCAGCTTCACCTTCAGCTCCATCACCAACGTCACCTTCAACTTCACTGTTTCATCACCAGCTTCACTGTTTCATCACCAGCTTCAGCTTCATCTCTCCTTCATCCACCAGCTTCACCCTCAGCTTCACTCCTCGGCTTCACCCTCCAGCATCATCAGCTTCTGCCCTCAGCTTCACTATCAGCTTCCTCTCAGCTTCACCCCCAGCATTATCATCAGCTTCACCCTCAGCTTCCACCTTCAGCTTCTCTCTCAGCTTCACCCCTAGCATCATCATCAGCTTCATCATCAACTTCACCTTCACTCCTCCAGCTTCATTAGCTTGCCTCAGCTTCATCATCCAGCTTCACCCTCAGCTTTATCATCAGCTTCACCTTCAGCTTCTCTCTCCAGCTTCACCCCAGCACATCATCATCAACTTCATCATCAGCTTCACCTTCACTCTCAACTTCATCATCAGCTTCACCCTCAGCTTCATCCATCAGCTTCACCCTCAGCTTTATCATCAGCTTCACCCTCAGCTTCACCTTCAACTTCACTCTCAGCTTCAGCTTCGTCATCAGCTTTCATCTTCCAGCTTCATCATCAGCTTCACTCTCAGCTTCATCATGGCTTCCTCCTCCAGCTTCATCATCAAAGCATACTCTCAGCTTCATCATCAGCTTCACTCTCAGCTTCATCAGCTTCACTCTCAGCTTCATCATCCGGCTTCTACCCCTCAGCTTCATCATCAGCTTCTCACCCCTCAAAGCTTTGTCATCAGCTTCACCCCTCCAGCTTCGCTTATTAGCTTCACTCTCAGCTTCACCCTCAGCTTCAGCTTCATCATCCTTCACTTCAACTTCATCACCAGCTTCACTCTCAGCTTCATCATCAGCTTCACTCTCAGCTTCATCATCAGCTTCACTCTCAGCTTCATCATCAGCTTCACTCTCAGCTTCATCACCAGCTTCACCCTCAGCTTCATCACCAGCTTCACTCTCAGCTTCATCACCAGCTTCACTCTCAGCTTCATCACCAGCTTCACCCTCAGCTTCATCATCAGCTTCACCCTCAGCTTCATCATCAGCGCTTCTCTTCTCCCGTCGTGTTTCTTTTCTGGCCAAGTTCCTGTAGTGGTGGAGACGAGGTCGGCAGCGGCAGGGGTGACGGAGGCCTCAGCAGAAGGAGTAGCGGCGCCGGTGTCAGCAGAAGTAGTGGCGGCGTCAGCAGCAGCGGCATAAGTGTCTGGATAAGTAGCAGTAGGTAGCGTCAGCAGAAAAAAAATAGGGGGCATCTTTGGTAGCGGCGGCACAACAGCGGCACAAACAACGGCGGCGGCGGCTGCGGCGGCGGCGGCTGCGGCGGCGGCGATGGCGAGCAAAAATGCATTTGTTAATCAGATTAGCAGCGGGCGGGGCATTAATGAGATATGATATAAGAAGCGTAATTATTCTGGTGCACGGAAGGCCCACCAGCCTCGGGTATACAGCCAGCGAATAACAATAAACCACCTCTTGATTTACCCGCCCGCAATAACCAATTGATTGCCGCCAAAAAGGAGAAAAAAAAAGCGGGAAAATTCACGGAGGATGGAGGATGTATTTAAGGGAAGATGTGCAGTTTATCTATGTTGGGCTCATTATCACCCGCCGGCCACCCAGTTAAGAAATGTACACAGAGGAATCTTCAATAATTTAATGAGAGGGATGTTTACGATGAGGGAGGGAGGGAGGGAGGGAGGGAGGAGTATTAGGACGGTCAAGACGGAGGGGAGGAGCGCCCAGCCCTCCTCCTCCACATTACTCTCAACACCCCTGGGTTTTTTTTCCTTTAAGCTAAAATCGCCAGTGTTCGTCGCGTCGCCAGAACTGTTAATAGAATATTAAGGCAGAAAGATTGCAAGAGAAAATCGACACAAAAATTGCACATCTACAGAAAAAAAAAGAAGAAAAAACGTACGAAAACAGCAGACAATTATAGGTTAGGAATAGCAGATGCTGGCGGTACATTGTGTTCGTACGTCGACATTGTTTCGTGGTGTGAAAGGCTTGCCACGTTGCTCTCAATACACGACCCACCATCATTTTTTCCACGCCTATTCACCCATTTTCCAATCACTGTGGACTACACAAAGCCAAAACAGACCTGAAGATACAAAAGATAGCCGAGGCCAGAGCGGGGAAAAAAAGTGAAAAATATAAGATGATGCGAAAATGAGTAGGAAAGAGTAAGGGAGCGGCGCCACAGCCTCACACCTACCACCAACAATGAGGACGATGCGTGTTCTGCCTCTGTTGATTATTTCCCGCCACGTAAAATGAGGTGTGTCTTGATTTTTACGGTGTCTGACGTTGGCCAGTCCATGCTGGTGGTGGTGGTGCTGGTGGTGGAGATGTTGGTGATGTGGTGGTGGTAGTGGTGTTGGTGATGGTGGTCGTAGTGGTGTTGGTGATGGTGATGGTGGTGGTGGTGGTGGTGGTAGTGGTGTTGGTGATGGTGGTAGTGGTGCTGGTGGTGGTAGTGGTGTTGGTGGTGGAGGTGTTGGTGATGTGGTGGTGGTGGTAGTGGTAGTGGTATTGAAGGTGGTGGTGATGGTAGTGGTGGTGACGGTGTGGTGGTAATGGTAGGGGTGGTAGTGATGGTGGTGGTGATAGTGATGAAGGTGGTGGTAGTGGTCGGGGTGGTAGTAGTGGTGGTAGACGTGATAATGATAACAGCAGCAGCAGCTAAGTGAACACAGTAGTTAAGTCTTCCTTCAACACTACAGAATCAAAACCGTAATCATCGCGCCTTTAAAAGTATTACACTAATAACCTGTTCTGAAATTACCCTGACCGCCAACTGTCTATTAACACGCTAATATTCCTTCCCGTGTGAACTGAGCTGAGTAATGAATAACATGTGGGAGGGGGGATCAGTATTTGGTGGCAGGTGGTGGCAGGTGGCAGGGCGGCAGGTGGTGGCAGGTGGTGGCAAGAGGCAGCAGGCGGCGGCAGGTGGTGGCAGGCGGCGGCTTGGTGAGGAAGGAGAGGCCCACCTACCAATACGTACCTGATGAAGGCTTTAAACACTCATTAAAGATGTCAGGGATCGTTTAGCAAGAGGCCGCTGTGGTGTACTCGGCCTCCAGGACCTCCACAGTGGTGTACCTGGACTCCAGGACCTTCACAGTGGTGTACTCGGACTCCAGGACCTTCACAGTGGCGTAGTCGGCCTCCAAGACCTCCACAGGTGTACTCGGCCTCCAGGACCTTCACAGTGGTGTACTCGGACTCCGTGGCCTCCACAGTGGCGTAGTCGGCCTCCACAGTGGTGTAATCGGCATACAGGACCACCACATTGATGTATTCGGCCTCCAGGACCTCCACAACAGTGAAGGAAGGAAAGAGAGATAACACATTTCCTGAAGGAGAGGTCACTCATGTGTTTGGGCTCCCTTTGCATTCACTTCTTCTCCACTCTTCTAAGGACCATTTCTCCTCTTTCTACCTTCTTCTTCCTTCTTCCCTACTCTTCCTTCTTTCTTCCCGTTTCCATCCCCAAGAATTACCTCTCCCTTCCCCCTCTCCTCCTGCCCCACGCCACGCCCGCACAGTTTTGTTATGAAGGCCTGGAGGAAGAGGAGGAGGAGGAGGAGTTGAGTCGTGTTGTGGATGTTATTTGTGAGTGTGGGCGGCGGGGATGGTCGCCTCGCCTGAGGGCCAGCCATTACCCGCCGCCCTCTCGGTGTCGTGGTCTCCGCTGCTGGACGATTGTGTCAAACTTTACCGCTGGCCGCCCTCTTCCCCTCCCACCTGATCCTCTCTTTACACATTAATTTGCGAGTGTTATTATTACGCGTGCGTGAAGGGGGTGATTGGGGAGGGTGTGCCCGCGTCAGAACGCTGCCGCACCTTAGTGCTCGTTCACACTCAAATACCTTCTTTAACGTGTGTAGTCTTGTCTGCTGTATACACACACACATACACACACACACACACAAATGCTTTGCTTTGTCTCCAAACCGCCACATACGTACCTGTACATACGCCTACTGTGTGTTTACAAAGGTACTCATACCCGGCGCTGTTTATAAACAAACCCCCCGGAGAGGCACAGTACACCTAACATGATTAAACCAACATTTTTACGCAAGCAACGAAAATAAAATGATGAAAAGGCGACAACAACAACATAAGCGACCCAGTCTCATTCCAGCTTGATTATGTAACACGTCAGGTCATTAAGCAGAGAGGCCTTGTGGCACCATGTGGTACTGTTACCCAGGTGAGGTCGTAGATGGAGTGTGGCACCGTATGGCACTGTTACCCAGGTGAGATCATAGAATGTGACACTGTATGGCACTGTTACCCAGGTGAGATCGTAGAGGGAATGTGGCACTGTATGGCATTATGCTACCCAGGTACTAAACGAAGAGGCCGTGGCGGGAGTGCGCTACCCAGGTATTACACGGTAACCATTCTATTTGTTCTTATTGAAACATGTTTACATAAATCCTCCCCGGGCCGCTCATTTATATGCATATACCGGGCCTATATATCTCACCAAGAGGCACTTTTATGTGGAGGGTATCTGCCTCCCTCCTCCTTCACTCCCTCCTTCCTTCAATTCTTCCTTACTCTCCCTCTTTCTCCTTCTTTCCTTCCTTAATCCATGCCTTCCTCCCTCCCTCCTTCTCTCCTCTTCCTTCAATCCGTTCCTTCTTCCTTCCGATCCTCTACTTCCTTAAACAGACTGTAGTGCGAGTCATACTAGTGTGAGTCTTACTAGTGTGAGGACGTGTAGTGAGTCTTACTAGTGTGAGGACGTGTAGTGTGAGGACGTGTAGTGTGAGTCTTACTAGTGTGAGGACGTGTAGTGCGAGTCATACTAGTGTGAGTCTTACTAGTGTGAGTCTTACTAGTGTGAGTCTTACTAGTGATCTTACTAGTGAGACGACGTGTAGTGTGAGTCTTACTGAGGCGTGTAGTGTGGTCTTACTAGTGTGAGGACGTGTAGTGTGGACGTGTAGTGTGAGTCTTAGTGTGAGGCGTGTGGTGCAGGTCATACTAGTGTGAGTCTTACTAGTGTGAGGACGTGTAGTGTGATCTCTAGTGTGAGGACGTGTGTGTGAGGACGTGTAGTGCAGAGTCATACTAGTGTGAGTCTTACTAGTGTGAGGACGTGTAGTGTGAGTCTTACTAGTGTGAGGACGTGTAGTGTGAGTCTTACTAGTGTGAGGACGTGTAGTGTGAGTCTTACTAGTGTGGACGTGTAGTGTGGTCTGGTGTGAGGACGTGTAGTGAGTCTTACTAGTGTGAGGACGTGTAGTGAGAGTCTTACTAGTGAGAGGACGTGTAGTGTGAGTCTTACTAGAGAGGACGTGTGGTGAGTCTTACTAGAGAGAGGACGTGTAGTGTGAGTCTTACTAGAGAGAGGACGTGTAGTGGGTCTTACTAGAGGACGTGTAGTGAGTCTTCGTGTGAGGACGTGTAGTGTGAGTCTTACTAGAGACGTGAGATGCTTACTAGAGAGGACGTGTAGTGAGTCTTACTAGTGTGAGGACGTGTAGTGTGAGTCTTACTGGTGAGGACGTGTA